AATAAATATGTGTCTATTTCACTGTACCAGGCCCTTGGTGCTTGTTTTAGACCATAGAGAGCCTTTCTCAGCCTATAAACCTTGTCTTCAGCCCCTTTAATCACAAAACCATCAGGTTGATCAACATATACTTCCTCCTCAAGAACACCATTCAGAAAGGCTGATTTAACATCTAATTGCCACAGTTTCCAACCTTTCTGTGCAGCTAGTGCAATGAGTGTTCTAATAGTATCTAACCTTGCCACTGGAGCAAAGGTTTCATTAAAATCAATCCCTGGTTTCTGTGTGTAACCTTTGGCTACAAGCCTTGCCTTGTGTTTTTGAATGGAGCCATCAAGATTCAGCTTTGTTTTGTATACCCATTTCACACCCACAACAGGTTTACTACTAGGTCTGTCAACTAATTCCCACGTGGAATTCTTTTCAATCATCAATATTTCTTCTGTCATAGCCTTTTTCCAAGCATCATCTTTGACTGCCTCATTGAAATCTTCAGGTTCAATGATGCTCATGTTGCATTGAGCATATACTTCACTCAAACTCTTCCATTTCTGTGGAGTATGGTCATAACTTTCAGATATTGGAACTGGAGAACCAAGTGAACCAGGTTCTTGAGATGCTTGCAGATCTCCAGTTGATTGTGATCTCAGAGGAGGCTGCATTGACTGAGGTGAATAACTTGAATATGGCTCAAATTCAGATATCCTTGAGTTTCTTTCATCATTCAAAGAACTAGGAACTTGAACTGATTCATTAGTTTTCCAGTCCCATATCACTTTCTTATCAAAGATTACACTTCTTGATAATTCAACCTTTTGAGTTCTCAAGTTGAAGATTCTATATCCTTTTTCACAATTTCCATATCCAACGAATACTCCTTTCTCACCAGTTTCCTCCAGTTTGTGTCTTTTCTGTGAAGGAATGTGAATATAACACATGGAACCAAATATCTTCAAATGTTTGACACCTGGCTTCCTCCCACTAAATGCCTCAAATGGAGTTATGTTGTTAAGAGCACTTGTTGGACATCGGTTTTGCAGATACACAGCTGTGTTGACAGCTTCAGCCCAAAACTTCAAGGGAATCTTCTTTTCAATCATCATAGTTCTTGCCATTTCAATTATTGTCCTATTCTTTCTCTCTGCAACACCATTTTGTTGCGGAGAGTAGGCAACAGTCAATTGCCTTTCTAATCCCATATCTTCACAGAACCTTGAAAACTCTAGAGATGTATATTCTCCACCCCTATCACTTCTGAGTTTCTTGATTTGATAGCCACTTTGTAGCTCAACCATGGATTTAAACCTTTTGAAAATGTTGAAGACTTGAGACTTGTGTTGCAAGAAAAATACCCAACACATCCTAGTGTGGTCATCAATAAATGTGAGAAAGAATTTGTTGCCTCCTAGAATAGTTATCTGCATTGGGCCGTATATATCAGAATGAATAAGTTCTAGAGGTTGTGATGCCCTCCAAACTTTTCCCTTGTCAAATGATTCCCTATGACCCTTTCCTGTAGCACATCCGGAGCAAACATGCTCAGAAACTTGTAGTCTAGGTAAGCCCTGCACCATTTCCTTCTCTTGCAGAAGCATTAAACTAATGTAGTTTAGATGTCCATATCTTCTATGCCACAACTGAGATGACTCTTCAACAGTTGCTCTATTAGCCATGTGAGGATTAACATATTCCAAACTTAATGGAAAGCATCTGTTCCCTTTCATTGGAACACTTGCAATCAGATCTTCCATCTGTCTATCTCCATAAATATCAACCATGTAATCACCAAACACAAGCCAATGTCCATGTTCTACCATCTGCCCTACACTCAATAAGTTTTCATCCAATCCAGGTACAATTATAACTTCTTTAATATACCTAGTCACACCTTTCATCTCAATCACCAATGTGCCTTTGCCTATTGACTGCACTAAATCTCCAGTGCCCATTTTAACTCTACACTTCACATTCTTATCAACATCAATAAGCAAGGATTCATGGGAGGTCATATGATTGCTACATGCACTATCTACATACCATATATTCATACTTCTTCCAATAGTAGCAGAATGGCAGGCATAAAACATGGTTGCAGATTCTGTTACCTGATTCGCATAGTTTACAAGTTTTCCAGACTTGTTTGGTTGATCACAATCCTTGATGAAATGACGGAAACGATTGCATCCATGACATTTCGGCTTCCCTTTAAACCAGCACTCACCATAGTGTAGTTTATCACAATGCTTGCATTTTCCCTTAGACTGATCAGATTTTCCTCCTTGATCATATTTGCCACCTCGATTAGCAAGATTCAGAGGTTTAGGATCCCATTTCTTCCCTTTTGATTTCCAATCCTTCTTTGGTTTAGAATTACCAAACGAGAGATTTGGTTGACTTCCTTTCGAATTCAGATTCAGAGTACTGAAAGCTCTTTCAATGGTACTCTCAGCATGTCTATCAAGGCGTTGTGCAAACCCTCTTAATGCTGCAATCACCTCTTGTACCTCAATAGTTTCAATATCCTTGGTTTGTTCAATTACATAACAAACAGGATCAAACTCCTTAGTTAAGCTTATGAGCAATTTCTGAACTAATCGTTCTCTGGGTAAATCTTCCCCATAACCCTTCATCTGATTTACCAACTCGAGAAGACGAGTGAGATACATAGACAGAGTTTCATCATCCCTCATCCTTGTGTACTCGAAATCACGGCGTAGACCCTGCAACTTGATGGATCTCACTTGCTTATCACTATGAAATTCCTGATGTAGGATATCCCAAGCACCCTTTGAGGTTTCTTCGTTTGAGATTCTGGGAAAGATGTCATCCGAGACAGCTCCTTGGATTATACCCAGTGCCTTAGCATCCTTCATTAGCTTGTCGCTCAGAGAAACTCTCTCCGACTCCGATGAACCTTCATCTCCAATCTTCTTATCCTTCGATTCTGAAATTTCAAACCCCTTTTCAACTAAATCCCAGATTCCATGTGATTTGAAAATAGTTCTCATTCGAATCTTCCAGAATTCATAGTTGTCACCATTGAATATTGGAGCCCAAAGATCACTACCACCAGATCCAGCCATTTGAGACTTGAATCGACAAAACTGAGTCGGAAATTTCACGTTGGATTTCCGAGCACAGCACTCACAGATCTTACGCCCCGATTCCAGATAGAACCTGAGCTCTAGATACCATGTTAAGTTTTAGTAAACTGATATATACAAGAATTGGATTTTTAGAGGAAGCTGAAAAGACAGAGAGAGTGAGAGGCAAAGTTTCTTCAACTGCAACTCTGTTACATTGCAGAGAGCAACATTTCATTCATCTACATTCCCTTCTTTTACATCAGAAATCATATCCGTTCAATTACATGAGCCAATGTGATTTTGACACATGGCAGAACAAAGCATATGAGCCATTGAAAAGAGACCTGATCTAAAATCACACACTTGGCATATGAGCACAAGTTATCACAACATAAAACAGCTACACAATAGAACAAAGATAAAATAGATAAGTAAATCATTTACTAACTTGAAATTAGTAAGCAATTTACTTTTCAACAGTTTGTTCCTACGTTTGATGCTCTGATTTTTAACTGCATGCACATTCTCTAACTGCATGCACATAAGGCCTTTTATGGCCTAAAGCAGGCCTCTCGTGCCTAGTTTCAGAGGTGTAGTTCTTTTATTATCAATTTTGGTTTCCTTCAAAGCTGGGCTGATAATTCTGTGTTCGTTGTTTTGGGTAGTGATCCCTCTGCTTTTCTTTCTAATTAAAAAAAAATAGGTGTTGAATATGATTTAAAAGACTTGGGCAAACTGCTATTTTCTTCGGAAAAAAGTCTTTTTTATGTGGCCGGATATTCATCTCACCCGGACAAGGTACACATTGAACATTCTCAAGAAGGGAGACATGCTTGATTGTTTGACACGTACATGTGGTACTGAGTTGGCTGGTCCATGTTTCTATTGCTATTGTGGTGGAGGTCTTCAATATCTCACCATGACATTCAATATCGCCGTCGTCTCCTTTGCCGTTCATAACGTTGCTCAAATCATGGGTCGTCCTACTTCTTTGCATTTGGAGGCAGTTAAACATATTTTGTGTTACTTAAAAGGTACTTATGGTCATGGTTTGCCAATATGATGTTGTGATGCCTCTTCTTCTTTTTCAGTGTACTCTAACGCAGATTGGGCAGCTTGTTCGGACACCCGTCATTTTGTCACAGGTTTTTGTATCTTCCTGGGTTCTAACTTGATCACATGGTGTTATAAGAAACAACGAACAGCCTCTTGGTTAAGTACTGAAGCAAAGTATCGTGCCCTAGTTTATGGATGTGCAGATTCGATTTGGATATTTTGTCTTTTAAGTGAGCTGTGGGTTCCTATTCCTCGTCCAATTTTTCTCTAATGTGATAACTGGAAGCGATATATATATATATATATATATGTATATGTATATTTACTGTCGCACTTAACATATTGCTCTTGATTATCACTTTGTGCGAGAACATGTTGCTAACACGCATTAGGTTCAGTTTGCTTCTTCCGAGGTGCAGTAGTCAGAAGTGTTCACCAAAAGTCTATCACAATCGCACTTCTTGCTGTTGACTTTCAAAATCCTCACTTCGCATGTGCCTCGTTTGCGGGGTGAGTGCTATAGATATGGTTGTTTGAATTGTACTCCATTCATGATTTGAATTGTACTATCGTGATAAATTCTTATTAATGTTGGACTATCAGAAACTTCACATGATGCATTTTTTTGGAAGAGATTTTGTGACAACAATTGTGGTAGTTTTCATGTATTCTTCATCTTTTAATTGGTCGAGTTCGGTGAATCAAGCATGGTTCACATGGAATCAAAGCGGAGCATGTCTACTAAGATACAAGCAAAAGGAATGTATGTCATCTATTCTCATGACAAAGTGGGCAAATTATATAACTAACCAAAATGTTACTTCATTATAGTTGGTAATTTATATTGCATAATAAAGGTTGCAAGAGGAAACCAAATTTCATTAAAGCAGTTACAAAAGCAGTTATATATTACTATATTTATATAATATATAGTATTATATAGGTAATCGATCATATTAGAAGCTGTTGACAACTAAGTTTTGACAACTCTTATTTCAAGGAATCATCTAGCTCATATTGACTCAATTTTTATGGATAATTGGTGGGGGTGGTCGCAAATTGTTCAAACTTGGTGGTGGTGGTGGTGAAGGAAGATTGTTTCGACCTGGGGATGGTGGTGGGGGAGGATTTTTTCGACTTACTAAAGGTGGTGGAGGAGGATTATTCAGATTTGGTGGAGGTGGTGGTGGATGGATGTTCTGAGGTAGTGGAACTTGTGGGGGATTGTTCCAACCACGTGATGGTGGTGGTGGATGACTGTTTTGACTAGGTAAAGGTGGTGGCGGTCGATTGTTTGGCTGGGGTGGCGGTGGATTGTTCTGACTTGATGATGTTGGTGGCGGTGGATTGTTCCGACTTGGTGATGGTGATGGTGGTGCTCGTTGAGGATTGTTTCGACCTGGTGAAGGTGCTGGAGTAGGGTTGCTATGACTTGGTGATGGTGATGGTGGTAGATTGTTCAAAGGTTGTGGTGCTCGTGGAGGATTATTTCGTCCTGGTGATGGGGCTAATGATGGAATGTTCTGAGGTGGTGGTGCTCGTGGAGGATTGTTTTGTCCTGGTGGTGGGGCTAGTGGTGGATTATTTTGAGGTGACGATATTAACGGTGGATTATTCATAGGCGGTGGTGCAGGCGAATGATTGTTTTTACCCGGTGATGGTGCTAGTGGTGAATTATGTTGAGGTGGTGCTTGCGAATGATTGATTTGACCCGGTGAAGGTGCTGGAAAAGGGTTGGGCTTACCAGGTGTAGGTGTTGGTGGTGGATTGTTCTGAGTTGGTGGTGTTCGTGGTGCACTGTTTTGACTCGGTAAAGGTGCTGGAGGGGGGTTGCTTTGACCTAGTGTTGGTGTTGGAGTTGGTGGTGGATTCTTTCCAGGGGGTGTTGGTGTTGGTGTTGGTGTTGGTGTTGGTGTTGGCGTTGGCGTTGGCGTTGGTGTTGGCGTTGGTGTTGGTGTTGGTGTTGGTGTTGGCGTTGGAGTTGTAGCTGGTGTTAGAGTTGGTGATGGTGTTGGTGGCGGACTTTTTCTAGGTGGTGTTGGCGTTGGCGTTGGCGTTGGTGTTGGTGTTGGTGTTGGTGTTGGCGTTGGAGTTGGAGCTGGTGTTAGAGTTGGTGATGGTGTTGGTGGCGGACTTTTTCTAGGTGGTGTTGGAGTTGGTGTTGGTGGTTGATTTTTTTGAGGTGGGGGTGGTGGCGGTGGATTTTTTTGAGGTGGCGGCGGTGGAGGATTTTTCTGAGGTGGCGGTGGTGGCGGATTCTTCTGAGTTGGGGGCGGTGGCGGTGGTTTGTTTTGAGGTGGCGGTGGTGGAGGATTTTTCTGAGGTGGCGGTGGTGGCGGATTCTTCTGCGGTGGGGGTGGTGGCGGATTCTTCGGAGGTGGAGGTGGTGGTCGTCTCACTACAATAGGAGGAAGAAATGGCGGCTTGTAAAATGGTGGTAGCCATGGCTTGGGAAATGGTGGTAGCCATGGCTTAGTTAATGGTGGTATAAACATTGATGGCTTGTAAATTTCGTGTCTTATGGGAGTGACTTGTAGCTTGTCATCCTCATTGTATTGGGCATTGGATGAAGTTGTGATAAGAATAACCACTACAAGAAATAGCACAAACAACTTTAAGTAAGTCATCTTTGCTCTTCTTGTGTTACAAAATGAGAAGGGGCATCATTTTATAGGGGCAAGAATGATGGGTTTTGTGTTAATAATTTTGGTCAATAGGCAATTGGTAATTCATAGGCTCCAATTGGGGTAGTATCTGCCCAACTGGTCTAATAACATTGCTTTTATGGTAGGGGAAGCTGAAATTTTTTGGCATGCTTTATAAATTGTATTCCTTATTCCTAAATTGTTCAACAAAAAAAATATATATTTGTTTAAAAATTTAGTAAAAAAGGGGTGAGTCTTGCAATCTTGCATTCGTTTTAGTGGTAGCCTCAGGAATTTTATTCCAGGAATTTTTTATCCGTTACCAGTTACCATTTCGAGTTTCAAATCCCCAAAACTGAAGCGGTGTAGTCTAGCAATCTTGTTCAAGTGTTTGGAAAAACACTAGAAAAGATAGAAAAATGAATGAGTTTTTAATTGTCTTTATTATTTAGGGAGATGACATACCCACCCATCAACATTATTTCTCCACCCACTTTTTAATGATACTTTTAATGACAACTCTAAGCTTTTGCAAAATGACTTATAAGGCCATCTTTAACTATTTTATTCTTTTGTTTTTGTATTAAATTCTGAAAATAGAAGGAACAAAAACATGAGCCCAGCAAGTTGAAACCACCGCACACAACACAAACCAAGTTGAATCCACCGTTTTCCTCATCTCTTATGTCAATTCCTTCCCATCCATTCGAAATCTTCATCAAACACCATAGGCCCATTACAATTACCTTAAGAAACCTTGATAATTGGATTCTCTCATACCCATTTGACGTGGTTTTGATACCCCTCTTCTACGATTAATCCTCTACTTGAGTTGTAATTGCAGAGAGCGACTACGAGGTCGACCGAGGATGTTGCTCATCCTCATAGTCTTGATCAAATTAGAGACATAATTGGCTGACAATGAGAAGGGGGTTGCTTGCCGTCGAGTGGATGGATATGTGGTGGTGACTAATTTTCTTTGTAAGGGATAGTTTAGGAATATCAGTGGGTGGGAAAAGAGTGTTTTTCATTTTTACCTTTTGAGTGGGGTGGAAAAATAAGGTGGGGTGGGGAAAGAGGATTGTGAGGTGGGTCTAATAGCTCTCATTATTTAATACCAAGGTTATCTAACTTATTGGCATTCGATACCCCATCATTCCAACATTTGGCTTTTGTATTTAAATCCAATCAATTTTCTTTTCTTCTTAAATGTTTGGCCTTAAACTGTCATTTTCCTCTTAATCGGTCGTCCCTTTCTGTTCAACCTTTTTCTTTATGTAAATGGCAAGAGTTTGGCCACTGGGTAATTGGGGTTTAGCCATTGACGCTTGGACATTTAAACTCTAAGCTTAGCATATATGGATGGGGTTAAGCATCCTATTCTCCATCCCCTTGCTAAATATGTTGGCAGGATATGTAAAGACCAAGAAGCGTTTGGTGCTAAGGATTGGATTGAAATGCATAAAACATTTCAAGGTATGTTGAAAGAAAAATTGAAAACATTGTGGCCAACTTGGAAGTAGGAATCAATAAGACAACTTAGGGCTGATTTGGGATTGTGGTGTTTTTTTTTATTTTTAAAAGCAACATATAAAAAAAATCTGGAATATCAAATATGTTTGGTAAAAAAAAAAAAATTTAAAAACTGATGTCAATAATAGTAGAAAAGAAGAAGTAGAGCCTACCATGCTTATAACAAAATTGTTTTTTTTTTAAATATAGTGATCAGTGCCAATTTAATGAAATTTTCAAATGACAAGTATACCCACCAAATTTTACAAAATTACAATATTTACCCTTACATTATTATCTTTGGCAATTATTATATCACATTAAATATCATATCTTTTTAGTCATTTAGCATATTCACAACAATTTTATATAAAAGTTTACCAAACTTTTTTTTTTTTTTTGCTATAAGCAATTTTACAAAAAAAAAAAGTTTACCAAACACTCAACAATATTTATTTTACAGCTGTTTATTCTCACATCACAGTAGAAGCAGTTTATTTTTATTTTTTTAAGCACAACAATACCAAACTAGCCATTATTCACTACAATCATTCCTAAAATGGTAGGATGAAAGGAGAAATTTCATTCATGTTTAGTCCCCTTTAATCTGATCCTTTATATGAAACGAGACCTAAATTCAAGAATGTCATAAATAAAATAGGTTCCGAAAAGCTATACAAATATAACCACTTGGATATATATATATATATATATATATATATATATATATATATATATATATTAATGGGCGGCAACTCCAGCCACGGGTCCAAGGCCAACAAAGCAAAGGCCTGGCCAAGGGAGGCCTCTAACTTCAAGAACAAGGGAAAAGCTACCATTTAATCGAATTCCACTACATTGGACATGTGCTACCATTGTGGATCAATGGACCATTGGTCACGTGTATGTTGAGCTACCCCTGAGGCTATTGCCAAGTATCATTCCTGTCACAAGTCAAACTTTGCACATGTGGAACATCCTGACGATACTACCACAACTATAGAGGTTTCAAATTTTCAGGCGGCATCCACTTCTATGGAAGAATGAAGTTTATTTTTCTAGACATGTTCGGGTGGTTTTTACCCTTAGTTATCGAACCCACTATGGAATAACTTGTTTGGTTTGGTTTGTTTTGAATTATGGATAATTATGTCATGGATATTATTTCTCAATTGATTAATTGAATGAACACAATTATATATATATGCATGTGATCGATTCAATTAATTTATTTCTAGGTATGACTAGTAGGGAAGTTAGTTGTCTGGCTGATAGTGCTACAACACACCATCTTTCGTGAGCAACACTATCTTACTAACTTTGTACCTAAAAATGCACCTTTGACAACTCTCTCAAGTTCATCTAACCTGATGGAACAATACAGAAAGGCTCATATAATGTTGTCTAATGGTATTGAATTAACCATAAAAAGACCTTATATTCTCCTCGTTTCGGAAAACGTTGCTAAGTTTTAGAGATATCCGAGATAATAAATATCATATTGAAACCACTGAAGAAAATGATTCTAATCATTTCTTACGAATATGGCTAGAAACGTATTCACAAGAAGTTGGAATGTTTTTCGAGTGGGTTGTACATCACAACCATTAGAGCCATAGAGACCTATCACGTGGACGACCCTAAGCTCGGGTTCTAGACCCTTTGCTGTCTTGGCATGACCGGATGGGACATTCTAAACGAGATATGATGCGCCATATCCTCAAATCTTCACACGGGTATCATATAACCTCTTATATCGGATACCCGACTTGCAAAACATGCCACTTGGGGAAGTTGAACACTCAACCTTCATCTATGAAGATTAATTAGAACCCTCCAAAGTTTCTTTAAAGGATTCAAGGGGATATTTCAGGACCTATCCAACCAACATCCGGACCATTTAGATACTTCATGGTGTTGGTTGATGCATTGACACGTTGCTCATATGTCCACTTAATGTCCACACGCAACGCTGCTTTTGCAAAACTCTTAGCTCAAATCATTAAGCTTAGGGCTCACCACCTTGATTATATGATTTAGTAAATTTGACTAGATTATGCTAGAAAGTTTACGTCACGGTCCTCTGATGATTATTGCATGTCAATTGGGATTGAAGTTGAGCATATTGTACCACATGTTCATACCGAAAACGGTCCAGCAGAAGCTTTTATAAAGCGCAATCGATAGCTCGGACTTTGGTTATGGGAACCAAATTGCCGTTATCTGCCTAGGGCTATGCAATTCTACATGCATCTATGTTGGTATGCTTGAAGCCCACCACTACCCAGTCTCTTTCACCGTTATAGTTGGTCACTGGATACGAGCCTGATGTTTCGCATTTGCGTGTGTTTGGGTGCCCAGTCAATATGTCAATAACGACACCACTACGTACCAAAATGGGTCCTCAGAAAAGAATGTGAATTTATGTCGATTATGATTTGCCATCAATTATTCTCAACTTAAAGCCCTTGACAGGAGATCTCTTTACCGCACGTTTTGCGGATTCACTTTGATGAGACAATCTTGCCGCTGTTAGGGGGAGATAAGAATGTTAACGTTTCTATAAAACGTCACAAATTGTTGTGATATGCTCCCACTATGTCTCATTTAGATCCCCGCACTGCCCAGTCTGAAACCGGAGAGCGTCATATTCTAGGTCTTTAGAGTATTGCTTAAAGCATGCCGAATGCTTTTACTGATCTAAATAAGGTGACAAGATCACATATACCAACTACAAACACACATGCAATGATCGATGTACTTTAGGTACGTTGTAACATTGCCTCAGAAGAATGACCCATCCTCGAATGAAGGTTAGCCGCACCTCCCACGCGGGTCAGTACACTGGTAGCTAGCCAATTATCTACTCCTACCTTGAAGCATGGCAGACCTCCTAGTTCAAAGGATTTACAACCACAGAAGAGGAAAACGGCACAAACTAGTGATCCTAGTATGAATTCAACCATCGCTTACTTATATGTTCCAACGTATGAGGTTATTCTAGATTACGATGATGTCTTAGATGAGACAAACCGGCCTCCCAAGAATCGTGAGATTCGGTCCATTACGCAGTATTGGATGAGATTTGAAATCAGAATGAGATGATCGTCGACGATGCCTTTGCGTACACAGTAGCTATTAACATCATGCTTAACAATGACATTGAACTACGTTCCATTGATGAGTGTCGATGTATAACTGACTGGTCAAACTGGAAACAAGCAACCCAAGTCGAACTTAATTTGCTTACAAAACGTAAGATGTTTAGGCATGCAGCTCCTATTCCACCACAAGTTAAGCTTGTGGGCTATAAGTGGATTTTTGTAAGAAAATGTAATGAGAAGAATGAATAGTGTGATACAAAGCACGCCTCGTAGCGTAAGGCTTTTCTCAATGCCTTAGAATTAAATACGAGGAGACATACTTTCCCGTAATGGACGTCATAATATTTCGCTACCTTATCAGTTTGGTAGTTTCTGAAAAACTAAATATACAGCTTATGGATGTGGTAATCGCGTATCTCTATGGGATCTAAATATAGAAATCTACATGAAAGTTTCTGAAGAGCTTACATTGACTAGATCAAATAGTTCTAAACCATGGAACACCCTATCGATTCAATTGAGGAGTTCACTGTACGGATTGAAACAATCTGGGTATATGTGGTATAACCGTCTAAGTGAACCTTTAACAAGTCAGGGTTATGTGAACAATGAACTATGCTCATGTGTGTTTTTTAAGAAGTTACATTCTGGATTTGTGATCGTTGTAGTTTATGTCGATGACATGAATCTCATTGGGATTCTTGAAGAGCTTGAGGAAACTGCCGCTCACTTGAAATTGAAATTTGAGAAGAAAGATCTTGAGAAAACTTGATATTGCCTTGGCCTGAAGATCAAGCACTGTTCGGATGGAATCCTAGTACATTAATCGAACTACACCCAGAAGGTGCTGCGACGTTTTAATGAGGATAAAGTGAAGCCTTTGAGTATTCATGTGGTCATTTGGACTCTAGATATTAAACGAGAACCCTTCAATCCTAAAGAGGATAAGGAAAAGATTTTTGAGCCTGAAATTCCACACCTAAGAACAATTGGTGCTTTATTGTACTTAGCTTAATGCACTAGACCCAACATCTCATTTGTTGTAAAATCTTTTGGCAAGATATAGCAATGCGCCTAACGTAGGCACTGGAATGGTGTCTAATACATTTTCCTTTACCTTAAGGGTACAACAGATTTGGGTTTGCTCTACACCCATGAATCCTCGAGGGGAGCCGCTGCCCCTTTCGGTCTTTGGGTTGATTCTCGCCTTGTTGGTTATGTTGATGAATGTTATCTATCTAACCCACATAGGGCACATTCTCAAATGGGTTATGTCTTTACCATTGGAGATACCGTAATTTCTTAGAGGTCTACCAAGCAATCGTTAGTTGCGACTTTTTTTAACCATGTTGAGATTCTCATCTTGCATGAAGCCTCGCGTGAATGCTTTTGGTTGAGAGCAATCATGGAACATATTCGAACCACTAGCAGTCTTTCTACCAATGTTGATGTTTCTATAATGATCTTTGAAGACAATGATGCATGTATCGATCAACTGAAGAAGGGATACATCAAGGGAGACAACACCAAGCACATTGCATTGAAGTTCTTCTATTCTCACCAACAATAACAACATCATAACATCAAAGTCAAGCAAATCCGTTCCCAAGATAACCTAGCCGATCTTTTCACAAAGTCATTGCCCAAGTCTACTTTTAGAAGCTTGTCCAAGGAATTGGTATGCGTAAACTTTCTGAGTTGAATAGCTTGTAGTTCTCTTATTTGGAAGTTATGTCAAACTCAGGGGGCCATAAGCATACTCACTTGATATTAATGTACTCTTTTTCCCTATGATTAGGAGCATTTTTTCCACTTAGTTTTTGCTACCTAACAAGGTTTTGATGAGGCACCCATCCTGGGATGATCATACTTCTTTGATGTTTACTACTTTTGTCTCGGATGACGTTTGTTTTTTACATTATGCATACTTATCACTTTTCTCCTTAGTCTTTGGGTTTTGCACTTACCTTAGGTTTTACCATAGCAAAGTTTTGTGAGTTTACTACCAATGCATACTTTCTTTAATTTGAGATTCGCATTTGCTCGTTTTGTCGACGACTTCATCAACTGATCTACTTCATCCGCTGAAGACCTGATACGATATTTTGTTTGAGTATTTACACATTTAAGGAAGTGTTGTAGTCATATTTATTATAAGAATGTGATTGTGTAAATCCTATTATATATGGGATATCTTTAGTAAATTCTATCATATCTTTTAGACTAGATATTATTCTATTGGGGTAAGGAATGTACCTTATCTACTACTATAAATAAAGGCAAAATGGGGTGGAATACCACACACCTCACAATTACACATCTCTCTTTTCTCTCTCTATGTCGTCGGCCACCCCTCTCTATCCCTTATAATTGTTCAGTAAAATAGGCCTACAACAAAACTAAATTTGTGGTGCCACTTAGTATTACGATTTAGTGATACTTTTCTTCACTTGTAAGTGAGAGATTTTTTTTATTTTTTTTATTTTTAACAAACGATATTATTTATACTAAAGATGTGGGGTAGTGCGCTACGCCTCACTATCTCGATGTTGCATTAGCTCAATGTCGCCTTCGATCTCTCGTCTGCAATATACTCCACTTCTCTTCTCTTCATGAGTGATTCTCACCGTTGAGATCTGTAACTTTTCTCGGGGGCCAAATCTCCCATCACTTCTGCCGGGCAACCCTCTATTCCATCTAGCAGTATTTTCTTGTTGCAGAAACGGACCAGAACCGAGCTGATTCCTCGGGTACAAATTAAACTTTGGTGACAACTTCCTATGGTTGGTGCGGTTGTCAGTTCTGGCAACAAACCAGTCAGAACTCTGCCTGACAACCAGCAACATAATGGGCTGGAACCGTGCCCAGCTCTAAGTTAGAGTACATGTTCCATTGAAAATGAATGTGAAAGTAATAACTATTATTGAATGAATATGACATAACAATGTGAGCTTCGTCTGGGCCTCAAATAAGAAGCGTAGTAATTAATTTTATATCTGTGATCCTGTATTCAGTTTTATTTGATATTAGATTCTCTGTGTGTGTCTCTTTGTCTCTATTTCATATTTCATAATTGGTAGGTTTAAATTTCTAGATCTTTTATTTCGATACTTGATTTTTGTCCATTTTTAAAAGTGGAATTATGGCTCTCCTGCGGATATTTCAAAACCTAATATATGAAATAAAAAATTCCTGTGCAGATTAGGAGCTTTCCTTCTGCAGAGTTTTACTCGGAGTCATTGGAGGATGGTCCTAATATTATAGAGCAGACACAACGTTCTTGGCATGACTATCGATGCTTTGGACCCTTCTGCTTTTTTGACATACATCAAGGGAAGGAATCCAAGCCCGAAGGAAGTGGTAGATCTGTTGTGAATGTTGCTGAGGTTGATTTTATCATGCTCTTGTATCATAATTTAGTGGATAAATATCCAGAGCTTAAATCAAGTCAGCGGTTCACGATTATATCCCCGTATCGTGGACAAGTAACTCTCTTCAAAGAACGTTTCAGAAGTACTTTCGGAGTGGAGTCTGACAAATTCGTGGATATTACTACTATTGATGGTTGCCAGGTATCGTGACTCATTCTTTTATGGATTCCTTTGAAATTCTTCTCAATGCTAATAGACTTTGTTTTCTATTCAAAAGGTGATCAGACGTTTTTATTTTTAATTCTTTGGAAGTTTTCAAGGTCAGTTTTTTTGGTGATGTAATACCGTGTTATGTAGAGCTGTCTAGATGTCGGAGTATCTCATTTTATGTTGCATAGATTTGTCAAGGTGAATGATATCTCATAATTTTCATCGAATTATACCATAAAATATGATATAAACGATGACGAGGAGGAAAAAGGGGTGGGAGGAGCTCATGTGACTGTTGGGGTATTTGTTAAACAGAAACATCAAATATTTAACATTGGGGGTTATTACTGACACTGCACTCCTCAAGGTGCAATTTCTCTCTTATGGTTTAATAAGATACGGGTGCACAATGACCTTTTTGAAGTGCGAATAACTTCTCCCTGAACTTTTAGAGACAATTTTTTCCTATTATTCAATTTGCGAAAATTGAAATGTTTGAATAAATGATCTTTTAATGTTTTTCTCAGGGACGTGAAAAGGATGTTGCAATATTTTCATGTGTCAGGACAAACGAGCATGGAAAAATTGGGTTTCTGTCTGATTTTCGGCGAATGAATGTTGCGATCACTAGAGCAAAATCTTCTGTCTTGGTCTGTTATCGTTTGAAGTTAAGAATGAAGTTTCAAGTACTGTCTTACTTCATGTAATATGCATTTACATATTGACCTCTTCTTTTAATCAGGTAGTGGGATCTGCATCAACATTAAGGAAGCGCGATGAGCATTGGAATAACCTTATCGAAAGCGCTGAAAAGAGGGATTGTTTGCTTAAGGTGAATATTCTTCCTGAGAATATGAAATCACACACTATTCATCACACCTCGTGCTCAATTTGGCCACACATCTGCTGTGATTGATTCATGTGTTTGGTTTTGTCCAACCGCATATGACGGTTCATGTTGCTAATGTAGAATCGTAGGTTGAGCATTTAAAACTTCACACCAGGTTCTTAAATTTCTAGGTCCCACAACTTTTATGTTTTAGGCCGATTTTCCGTAACTTGTGGTCCTTTGAGTAAGCAAGAGGAATAAATTGGTCCATGCATCATTTAGTATCAACTGCAACGAGCGCTACGTTAAGAACTTTACCCACATCTCTCTTCATTTTATTGTTCTTTTGTTTCTCTCAGACATCAAATTTACTACATCTCTCTCCATTTTATTGTTCTTTTGTTTCTCTCGGACATCGAATCTGTCATCTCTTTCCAGCCCAATACTTATCATTTATATGTATTCACAAACCTCTGATTCAATCGTATGGCGTGTTCTGGCGATTTCTGTATTTGTAATGCAGGTCTCACAGCCATACACTTCATTTTTCAGTGATGAGAATCTGGAAACCATGGCTATCAAGAAAGAATTCTCATTGGAGGAGGTTGAGAATGATGAGGTGGATAACTATGCAGGTTCAAACAATTTTGGGGGTGCCGACCCGGCGGAGGGAGAGGAGAACGATTATGGAGACGGGGGTATGGACATGGATGATGGAGGCAACGGCGATGACTGAGTATCGATATGATAATGTTGCTTAGGTCATATGAAGTCGTGTGAGATGAAAGTCTCATGCACCGTTTTGAATGAGAAAGAAGTGAGGAATCCTCTTTTCAACTTGATCCCCACTTCAGTTGTTGCTTTTCTTTCTATTACTTCAAAAGTAGCTGCTTCAGCTTCAACCACCCGAATTTTTTATATTCGTTTGGGTGGGAGACTTCTTGTGTAAGTTAAACTACCGTCAGCTATTTAGATGCGTCAAGCCCCACCCCCCACCCCCACCCCCACATATACCGATTACCATTACAATGGAAAACATAGTTTTGTCTTAACTTTTGTGCCGGTTATCCTGACTACTATTACTGTCTCGTCTTCACTTGTAAGTGATACGTATCAAGTTCGACTTATATGGATGTGTGGCCGCTCAAGCCTTCATTCCTTTAGATATAAATAACTAGTATCAAAAAAATTTGTACTGGTTGTCACTAACATAGCTGTTTAGTAGTAATTATTTTATCACTTACAAGCTGAAAGCCTTGAGAGGACTCTTAAACACTTGTTGCTGTTTAGTAGAAAACTTTTGTAGGAGTTGTATTTTGTCTTATACGTAGAATTAACGTTTCTAATTAGAAACGTTAAGTTTTCTACTAAAGTTTAGTGACAACCGTTACTGTTTCTTACAAGAATAGACAATTAAGGGTGTGTTTGTTTGCCTTCACTAACTCTCCTTGGATTGGACTGGACTAGTTATTAGTCCAAAACCGTGTTTGTTACACGTAGGAATAGATTTAATGAGATTAGAGCCGACTCGTTCCGACTAAGTCCTTTGTTAGAAGGTCTTAGCGAGATCCCCCAATAAGCACGGGATTGCTAAGATCGTTCGTGTCCTTGTCCAGTTGTTCTCCTTGCTTCTTTGTTCTGGTCTGGTCAACTGACCTCGCCAGACCACCCCACTGACAGCGATGGCGACGATTGTTGACGAGATGCACTTGTTTTTGGCTCCGCACTTCTTCGACTTGTTCATAAAGGACAAGAGCGAAGCTGAGTCTACCATAGAAAGCTCTTCACTGTCGGCTGCATGGCCATTCACGTCGATTGGAGGAGGGGATGAGGGTGGGTCATTGGAGAAAAGAGCTTGCATGAGGAGACGATGCTAGGCTCGCAACTGGAGGTTTGATTCGAAGATGGAGGATCTTAATTACGTAGAGGTCTGATAGACTGATTCGCTTCTTTCCATTTTCCCCCCATTTTTTATTTTTTATTTTTTTATCTTTTTGATTTAGGGGAAATTTATTTACAGTGTGGATTTATTGTTTGGTTTGATTTGAATTGGGCAAAATCTTTGGTTTTTTTTTTTTATATAGCAAACGAACTTTTGGAGTGGATTATGAGTTAATTAGCAATTTCTCCTCCTGCGTATATTTCAATTTAGGATTTGATTGTAGGTTATTTAGAATATGATGTTGTTGTATGAAATTTTGTTATGATTGTATACGGTCCATTTTTCATTGTTTTCGTTATCCCATTTCTTAGTCCAACATTGATCAAATGCTTTATCAAGTTAGTCCAGCTTAGTCTATTCTAAGTCAGTCCAGCTTAGTCCCAGAAGTTAATCCAGTCCGAGATAGTCCGGTACAACAAATGCACCCTAAGTGTGACGCATCGTGCTATAATGAATAGGGAAATCGAATGACTATTTTGCCTTGTTATTAAGGTTTTGGAGGCAATCTCCTTGGTTGATGTTAGAAGGCGCTTTATCGAGGCATTAGCTCTGCAGTTTGGGAGACCAGTGGAAGCTGATTCGGTAGGCATCCTAGGCATGTAATGCTCTCTGCAAAGTTCTAGAAACGTTAAGACTAATTGTTCATATCTAATTCATAAAACTTATTAAGTCTTGCATGTTTATGTTTAATTTAAACATCACTGATGGATTACATGTTAAGTGTACGTAATTACTTGAACATCACGAGGAGATTATGCATTAAGAAAACTTAACCTTTAAAGTTGCATGTTTTAACTCATAAGTAATTTGTAGAACTGCGTATGATTGTTAATGGTAACGGCTAAACCCTAATACTTTTCACATTTGATTTCTCTCCAAATTTTTTTTTTATTTTATCTCTCATTGCCCATTTTTGTTAGTCAAATTTAATTATTTATTTTCTGTTCTTTTACTTTAATTCACAATTTCAAATCTTTTCCAAAACTTATGTTGTATACTTAACTAAGAATTGGTTTCAAATACAAATTATTCATATTGATCCGATAGAGAACGACCTTACTTGAGCTATTTATACTATAATAACCTTGTTCTCTTATAAGTATTTTTATGTATTTTAATTCCTACTTTTGCAAGTGGTAAAAATCCTACCATTCTCAACATCAGCATGTTTGAATCTGAATTAGTTTGCTAGCCAGAATTAGTTGGCCAGCCAGTCCAATCCAGTTCACTAGCCTAGTCTAATCCATTCTTGTCTAGTCTAGTCTAGTTCGCTATAATTGCTCTTTGCTTGAAAGCTCGCTTGAATTGTCTTGCCTTATCGGCCTAATAGAGCTTGCATCCGCATCTACTTGTTGGCAACTCATGTCGTGTACCGTCATGAATTTGACACGGGGTGTTGGAATATTAGTTATTATTTGATTGTCTAGGTTTGGGTCACACCTATATGATTAGGATTCTTTAGATTCTGCATTCTATAAATATAGCTTGTAGTTTAGTATGAGAATTAAGTCAATCAAGATGTAAGCCTTAGTTTATAGCCATCTCTGCATTCTTATTATTGTTTTCCTGTTAATAATATTCATAATTTATAAATTGTTTGTTCTTACGTTTGATGCTCTGATTTTTAACCGCATGCACATTCTTTAACTGCATGCACATAAGGCCTTTTATGGCCTAAAGCAGGCCTCTCGTGCCTCGTTTCAGAGGTTTAGTTCTATTGATGCACAAAACCGGAGGTCTTGGAACAACGTAAATCCGACCATGAATTTGCAAGAAAGTAAATAACACAAGATGTATTGTGGTTCGCCCCAATGTTTGGGCTACGGCCATACTGATATTGTATTTCTTTGTTTGTGAGAGGATGAGAGGGTGAGAGCTTCTGAGGGTGAGAGAGCTTTTCCCATGGCCTAACAATTGGTCTCTCTCAATGAGGAGAGTGAGAGGTCCTTTTATAGAATAAGGGCTCCTCACTTATTATATATTTGCCCCTTCATTTATTACATAATTACATTTGAGTCCTTCGAGTATTTATACGAGATCTAAATACGGAGGCCTTAAGTATGGTATAAACAGTAGTCCCCCAAGTCTTCAGTCAAGAGAGTCTTTTGGCTGGAGACTTGAAATTCAGTCCATGTGTGGGCCGAAGTAACTAGATGTCGTCTAGAACTGAATACTCGATATGAGGCGGTGCTCAATGTGAAATGATGCTCAATTAGAAGTAGCACATGTTGCGAGACTGCTCTACTTGTGGCTTATGTTGCCTTGGTTGGCTCGGTTTGTGGCGTTGAAGGTGAGGGAGTCCCTTTTATAGAATAAGGGCTCGTTCCTCAATACATAAGTGATGGGCTAAGAGTTGATGCTCGCGGCGAGACGGTTGCTTGGCAGGTGGCGATGCTTTCTAATGATGGTGAGGGAGTCCCTTTTATAGAATAAGGGCTCGCTCTTCAATACATAAGTGATGGGTTATGAGTGATGCTCGCGGCGAGGCGGTTGCTCAGTAGGCGGCGATGCTCTCTAATGATGATGAGGGAGTCCCTTTTATAAAATAAGGGCTTGCTCCTTAGTACATGAATAATGGGTTAGGAGTGATGCTTGCGGTGAGTCGGTTGCTCAGTAGGCAGCAATGCTCTCTAATGATGGTGAGGGAGTCCCTTTTATAAAATAAGGGCTCGCTCCTCAGTACATGAATAATGGGTTAGATGTGATGCTCGTGGCGAAGCGGTTGCTTAGTTGGCGGCGATGCTCTCTAATGAAGGTGAGGGAGTCCCTTTTATAAAATAAGGGCTCGCTCCTCAGTACATGAATAATGGGTGCTCTCTAATGAAAGTGAGGGAGTCCCTTTTATAGAATAAGGGCTCGTTCCTCAATACATAAATAATGGGCTAGAGTTGATGCTCGCGGTGATGCGGTTGCTCAGTAGGTGGCGATGCTCTCTAATGATGGTGAGGGAGTCCCTTTTATAAAATAAGGGTTCGCTCCTCAGTACATGAATAATGGGTTATGAGTGATGCTCGCGGCGATGCGGTTGCTCAGCTGGCAGTAATGCTCTCTAATGAAGGTGAGGAAGTCCCTTTTATAAAATAAGGGCTCGCTCCTCAGTACATGAATAATGGGTGCTCTCTAATGAAAGTGAGGGAGTCCCTTTTATTGAATAAGGGGTCGCTCCTCAATACATAAATAATGGGCTAAGTCCTCTAAGTATTTTTCATGAGGCCCAGTTGTGGAAGCCTAATATATGGTACATAGTGTAGTCCCCCAAGTCTTTAGTCAATAGGGTTTGTTGGCTGGAGACTTCAAATTGAATCCATGTATGGGCCGAAGTGACGGTTGTTCGAAGGCGGTATTTGTATACCCTGCACTGAAGCTTTGTAGGTGAAGCTTTGCAAGTGAAGCTTTTGAAGCTGGTTGACATGAGTGATGCTCATGAATGTTTATATGAGTGATGCTCATGAATGTTGACATGAGTGATGCTCATGAATGTTGACATGAATGATGTTCATGGATGTTTATGTATGATTGACATGAGTGATGCTCATGTATAATTTTGGAGTATTGGATGTACTTTTGATCACCTAGTGGGTGATAATAGCGGCAGGCTGCCGAATAATTTTTGAGTACTGGGCGTACTTTTGATCACCTGGTTGGTGATAATAGCGGCAGGCTGCCGAATAATTTTGGGAGTACTGGATGTACTTTTGATCACTTAGTTGGTGATAATAGCGGCAGGGTGCCGAATAAATTTGGAGCCATAGGGCCTGGCTCTTTTGGGCATATGGGCCTTCGCCCTCCACATAACATTCCAGCCCATTATTTTGGGCTTGCCGTTTTTATTTTTTATTTTTTTATTTTTATTTTTTATTATTATTACCCTCTGATAGGGTTATACAGATATCTGCGAAAGATAAGAAAAATAAATTACATCATTCAAAAATAAATCCGATCCTCTACTCAATGGGTCACGCCCATAATGCCATCACCACCGCAATTATGTCTGCTTTTTATTTATTTATTTATTTTCATCTTCTTTTGCTTTCTGCTTTTCTTTTCTGCTTTGCTTTTGCTTTTTCGACATGTGAGCACATGATTGCACCACTTGCAAATGCTCAATAATTTCTCATTATTCCAAACTGCTGCA